CATACCATATATGGAAAAAATTCAGGATGATCACAGACCTAAATGTAAATGATAAAACTTAATATAAAGCTTCCAGAGAAAATATTGGGAAATATCTTTCAAGATCCTGGCTGTAGGCAAATATTTTTTAGAGAAAACCCTCAAATCACTGATTTTTTATGATTAGAAAAAAATTTGATGAACTGGACTGTAACAAAATTAAACATTTCTGCTCACCAAAAAATACTGTTAATTTATTTCAATATATACATATTAGCTAATATATAGATCCCCACTCTGTGATCATTTCCATATATATATATATATATATAACCACTTTGCTCTCAATGAAAAAAATACTGTGAGAAAATGAAAATGTAAGCCACATTACCAAAAGAAAATGTTCTTCTTTTTCCTTTTTTTAAAGATTTATTATTTAAGAGAGAGACACAGAGAGAGCATGCTAACATGGGGAGGGGAAGTGGGGGAGGAAGAGAGAATCTCAAGCCGACTCCCCACTGAGCTCAGAGCACAACACTGGACTTGATCTCAAGACCCTGAGATGATGATCTGAGCCAAAACCAAGGGTCAGATGCTTAACTCACTGAGCCACCCAGGCGACCCTAGAAGAAAATATTTTCAATACATATATCCAACAAAGAATATATAAAGAACTTTGAAAAATCAATAATTTTTTAAAAAGACACAAAACCCAATTTTTTTAAAAGGTAGGGGAAAGAACTGAATAGACACTTCACAAAAGAAGATACACAAATGGTCAATAAGCACATGGTAAATGTTGAATCAGTCAAAATCTGTCTGGAATTCAAAGAAAGAAAATTAGCTCAGACTGATTTCACTCAGAAAAGAGGAAAAGCAGCCTAACCATTAGTTAGATCAGGACAGACACTGATAAAGCTAGCTACAAGGAAACATGGCTTCTCCAAAAAGCCAGGCAGCAGCTGTAAAATATCTTCGGAGTGGTTATTGCTTCTTTACCAACGATGCCCCAGACAAGCTTTGCTGTTTTCACTTATTCCTGAGGGTACACATTACTGTACTCCCTAGTGAACCCCACTTCTCATCCCTCCTATCTTTGCCTCAGAAATAGCAAGCAATCCAAAACCAATCCCTGCTTCTCTTCCCCCCTTCAGAATCCTTTCGTAGGATTCAAACCCTACAAATTCCTTTCCCTCAGGAACAGCACCAATCCAGAATTCCTCTGGAATTCCTTCCTTCAAGGCAATCAATCTGACTTGGTACTACCAACTACAGGATTTTGATCCTGGCTGATTAGGCCTTAAAAAAATGCTCCATATTATTAGTCAGCAGGGAAATGAGATGGAACTCCACATCCACCAGAATGGCTCAGTTAAAAAGACGGTCAAAAACCGTAAGAGACTCGGGGCACCTGGGTGGCTCAGTGGGTTAAGCCTCTGCCTTCCGCTCAGGTCATGATCTCAGGGTCTTGGGATCAAGCCCCACATCGCATCGGGCTCTCTGCTCAGCAGGGAGCCTGCTTCCCCCCCTCTCTCTGCCTGCTGCTCTGCCTACTTGTGCTCTCTCTCTGTCAAATAAATAAATAAAATCTTAAAAAAAAAAAACACAACAAAAAAAATAACCATAAGAGACTCTTAATCTCACAAAACAAACTGAGGGTTGCTGGGCGGGGGGGTAGGGAGAAGGTGGCTGGGTTGTGGACATTGGGGAGGGTATGTCCTATGGTGAGTGCTGTGAACTGTGTAAGACTGATGATTCATAAACGCGTACCCTGGAGAAAATAATACATTATATGTTAATAAAAATAATTAAAAAAAAAAGTCAAAACCAGATGTTGATGAGGAGGTGGAACAACCAGCATTCTATCTGCTGGTGGGTGTAAAATGATGTGACCTCCTGTAAGAGAAAGCATGTCCCCACCTGAGAGCCAGAGTCCGCTTCTAGGTTTCCACACAAGAGAAATGAAAACATAACCCGCTTAAATGTTCATAGCAGATTTACTCATAATGGCCTCAAACTGGAAACAACCTGTTAAAAGGGGTGAAAATATTGCCTTATATTCATTCAATACCACTCAGCGAAGACTGAACTCCTACCCAACAACAAGGGTCAATCTCAAAAACATTATGCTGAACTTCAGAAGAAGCCAGACACGACAGAACACCTACTGTATGATGCCATCACTTAAAGTTCAAAAACAGGCAAAATTAACCTGGGATGACAGTAACCAAAGCAGTGGTTACCTATGGTGGTGGATGGGGGGAGGAGCAAATTGACTGGAAGGGGGCATGAGGGAACTTTCTGGGGTGATGGAAATGTTCTAGACCTTGATTGGGCTGTTGATTATCCAGGTATCCAATTTGTGAAAACTCACCAAACTGTTTACTTAACACCTGTGCCTTTCACTATGAACTTCAGCTCAATTAAAAAAAACAAAAGACAAATCAGCATACTAAAAGACATTCTCCGTATACTATTTTACTGGTAGGTTAAGAAACTACCATTTTTGGTCATAATTCATGAGACCCTGCTATAAATTCTGTCCACATTCCTAAAATATTAAACAAATACCCTAAGAATTATGGAAAGATAGAACATATATATTTTGGGGGAACTCAGATTTGCTAAACTCCAAACCGAACCTATGAATATTCATTTACTGTAAGAGTCACAAATCACTAGGGATTGGCAGGGAAGGCTGATATTCTGTACTGCCGTTCTGCTTGTATTCCACAGGCATTATTTCACTTTTCATGACAACCCTATGAAACAGGACTATTATATCAACCCATCTCCATTTTACATCTGAGGAAACAGGCTCAGAGAGACCAAGTGGCCTGCACAGGGTTACGGAGCCAGCAAGCAGTGGAGCAAGGGTCTGAACTCAGGGCTCTCCAGCTTCCAAGCCAGGCTCCCCATCACTCTGCTCCCTCATGAGCTGAAGGCAGGAACCTAAAAAACTTCAGTTTTCTAAAAAGAGCCAACTCAACCAAAACAAGATAAAATCCAGATCAGGCCAAATCCAGATCAGGCCCTGGTTCTCCCTCAAACCTCCTGGCTACACCCTGTCTCCAATTCACCCACCACCCTTTTTTCTTTTTTAAAGATTTTATTTATTTATTTGACAGAGATTACAAGTAGGCAGAGAGGCAGGCAGAGAGAGAAGGGGGGAGCAGGCTCCCAGCTGAGCAGGGAGCCCAATGCGGGGCTTGATCCCAGGACCCCGAGATCATGATCTGAGCTGAAGGCAGAGGCTCAACCCACTGAGCCACCCAAGTTCCCCACCCACCACCCTTTTGTCTCAAGAATGATCCCCAACAAAAATCCTCTTGGAAACACCTCTTGGCTATTTTGAAAGAGCCCTCAATATTTTTTTAACATATAATGCATTATTTGTTTCAGGGGTACAGGTCTGGGATTCATCAGTCTTACACAATTCACAGCTCTCACCATAGCACATACCCTCCCCAATGGCCATCACCCAGTCACCCTATCCCTCCCACCCATCCCTCCCCTCCCCTCCAGCAACCCTCAGTTTGTTCTCTGAGATTGAGTCTGTTATGAGAACCCTCAACTTTTGAAAATCCCTATGGCATGCCAAAATATAAAAGAAGTAACAGAGTCAATCATGACTTTGCAGAAGAAATGAAGGAGTGCATGTGTGTTAAGTAGTAAAGCCATTTTTCCAATGGAATCTTAAAACAGACCTCAGTAGAGAAAGTAGGTAAAGGTGAAGTCACTCTCTTTGCAGAAGAGGGAGAGGTAAATGCTATCCCCTTGCCAGCCTCCAATTCCCCACAGCTACCCTGTAAAAGCTTCTCCTCTCAAAGTTCTGGCTGATCCCCTCAGATTAGCATTCACATTCTTTCGAAGTCAAGACCACTGCAACTTCTCCCAGCGTGCCTCCCACGTCCCTCCCTCTTGTCTCTGTCCTAAATTGATGGGAACTGTTCTCAGCCAATCTCCAAAACCATCAGTTTACTAGTTATGTGCACTTGCTCAAACATTTATCTGTTATCTTTTTTATAGGCTCAGGCAAGCCCCTCAGCCTGGCCCTCCTCATCCTGCCCACTCCTGCCATCCATCCTCATCCCCGGGCTCACAGCATGCCTTCCTCCAGGGACTTTCCTCAGTAGCTCTAGAAGAACTCAGGGCTGACCTAAGTGAGGACATGAGGATCTCTTCTCTGGAAGTGTCCTTCAATTGTTTCTTGTGTATCAGTTTTACTTCCTCACAAAGATTCAAAGTTTCTACAGAGTCATCAAAAAGATCTTCCTTTTCATCTAGCAGAAAGTCCCTGGTGTCAAGGAGATCTGAATTTAAACTCTGGCTCTGCCACTTACTGGTTGCTTTACATGGGGGAGTCATTAGTCATCTTGAACCTGTTCTTTCGGGACTGCTATGAGAAGGAAATTATTAATGAAGTTGCTGACGTCACAGGTGAATGAGCTTATGTATTTGTTTCCCTTCTCCCATCACAGCATGCCCACCACAGGGGCAGACATACAGTCGGCGATGAGTAATCTCTTTGTTGCTTTCTGCCAACACGCAGCAAGGACCTGCTATGGGCAAGTTTGGCTCCGTGGGAGCTAAAAAGATGTAGCTCTGCTCCTTGCCCGTCTTAATTTTGTTGACTTCAAAAAGCCAGGTCTAGCAGAACAGGAAGCAAGCATTTCAGGGAAATCACACTCAAGAATGCCTGCCAGGGCAATACAAGGTCCAACCACGCTCTGATCCAGAATGCTAATGGGCAGCATTCATGGAGCTCACACTGGCTTGCACTGAGGACAGGGGCATAGAACTCAGGCTGCTCTGAAAGCATTTGCAATAAAGTTGAGCGAAAGCTTTCCCAGGGGAAATACTGGCTGGCTTTCCTGCTAGATGAAATCAATGAGCCCACATAATTGAAAAACCAGGAAGAACCAGGGCCTGGGAGGCTGGGAGGCTGAACACCACCACCAATGGCCATGTGGGGAGCAGAAGCCCGAGAAGCCTGCCCAGACAGGAGTGGCACGGCATACCTGTGAAAGCGTGCTGCTCTCGCATTGAGAACACTTTCCTGATGGTGCCATCGCCAGAATCTTCTCCATGCGTGGAAGGCTGCAGGAAGGGCTCTCTGCTGGTAGTGACTGTCTGCTCTGGACCGCAGCCACTACAGTGAACAGAATGACCTTTATTTGTACTTTACATTATTTAAAAAAAAAAAAAAAAGTGGGGGGGAGGGTGGCGGCCCTGGGTGGCTCAGTGAGTTAAGCCTCTGCCTTCGGCTGAGGTCATGATTGCAGGGTCCTGGGATGGGAGCCCCACATCAGGCTCTCTGCTCAGTGAGGAGCATGCTTCCCCCTCTCTCTCTGCCTGCCTCTCTGCCTACTTGTGATCTGTCAAATAAATAAATAAAGTCTTTAAAAAAAAAAAAAAAGACCTTTCAGGGTCACATTCTAGAGGGAAGGTTGCTTTCTACACTAAACTGAGAAAATGATTAAAATCATTATTTTTAATCTTTATCTACATGATAGGTGAAAAATGAAATATGATGGGTAAGAAATTTTTACTCTAATTAAAAAGTTTAAGCATCTCTACCTATTTGTGTGTGTGTATACACATGTGTATATACGTGGATGTATCTAAATGTTTTGTCCTATGAACTAAGTGTTCATACCCACTGCCTGTTTCACTCTCTGACTGCTACTGTTTGACTCAGTGATATACATGGGCTTTTTGAATCTTAAGAAATTTATCAATCCTTTCTCATGAGTATTATCAACATTGTTCCCATGCTGTAATATATCTTTTGATTTTGCTGTAATTACGAAAGGCTACAACTATTTTACTGCTTATCATCAGGAAGACAGACAACTGACATAAAAATATATACATGCTTCCATGATCCAAAACTTTGTGGGGATAAAAGCATATATATACGGCGGTACTTTTTAAAATAGGACCTCAAATTCTTTGGATTTCCTCCTTCCCTGAGAAGTCCCCTCCCCTTGAATCTGGGCAGGACAGTGATTGCTTTGACCAGTAGAGAATGGTGAAAGTGACCATATGAGCTACTGGGTCATAAAGGGCCATACAGCTCTGTGCTGTTCACTGAGACACTTTTGGAGTGAGCAGCAACACAGGAAGTCTGACTCCCCTGAGGCCACTATGCTCAAAGGCAATCCAAGCCTCTTGGAGAGGCCCAATGTAGGTTCTCTGGTTAACAGTCCCAGATGTGCCCACTCTTTGCGAGTTATTCCAGTCCAGGAACCAGCCATGTGAGTGAAGAAACTTCTAGAGAATGCTAACCTCCTGCCATTAGAATCTTCCCAGCTGAGGCCCCAGTAATCATGGAGCAGAGACCAGCCATTATTGTGATGTCTTGTTTCAATTTCTGACCCACAGAACCCATAAGTATAAAGGGTCATCTGTTTTTATTTATTTTTTTTTAAAGATTTTATTCATTTATTTGACAGACACCAATCACAAGTAGGCAGAGAGGCAGGGAGAGAGGGGCGGGGGGGGGGGGAAGCAGGCTCCCTGCTGAGCAAGGAGCCTGATGTGGGGCTCGATCCCAGGACCCTGGGATCATGACCTGAGCCAAAGGCAGAGGCTTTAACCCACTGAGCCACCCAAGCGCCCCAGAACCCATAAGCATAATAACACACTTGTTGTTTTAAGCTACTGAGTTCAGGGTGATTTTTTTCACATAGCAACAGATAACTGAACAGTAAGCATCTGTGTGTGTGTGAACATATGGTATACATACTCCCACGCACATGGAGGAAAAAAGATACCAAATTTACTCACCAAATGTAATTTAAGATTACGGGTGTTTTAATTTTTTTCTTTTATCCCTTCCTACACATCTCAAATTACAATGTCTATATATTGCTTTTGGGCATTTACATTTTCAAATGTAAATAAAAGTAGAAGCAACAGTATAACGAATCCCCATGAACTTAACATCCAGCTTCAATAACTGGCAAACGTTTTGCCATTCTCTACGTATTACTTTTTAAAAAGAAAGAAACCCACAATAAAAAATATCTTTATCTTTTCCTGAAATAGAAAGAACTGATGTTCTCTTTAACGAACTTGATGTTCTCTGATGTCATCTCCTTAGATGACAGTCAGATGGTTAGCAAAAGATCTGGGAAAAAAAAAAAACAAAAAAAAAAAACCCAGAACTAAGCAGAGCTCTTACTATTTTTCAGACCTTCTATATGATGCAGGCCATGCAAAAGCAGTGTGGAGAGATAAGAACACTGACCTTTGACCTTCCACCACTGCTGGGCCCCAGGGTCAGGGGCTCTTTTTCCAGGGGGAAAATAAGAGACTCTGCTTCTTTTCCACCTTGAATAAACACAATCTTTCGACCCTGGCACTCAGTTTCCTTTTCTAAATGGTCTCTACCTTCTGCTGAGCTTACATTAAATGGGTTTAAGAAACCAAGTGGCAACGTCCTTTCAGAAAGAGTCACATCATCCAAAGGAATGTCAAAGAACGCAGCAATTCTAACCATTTTCCAGGTGTGGAAGGCAAGCCATGCCCTGGGCTGGCACTGCCCAGATGCCAAGAACAGAGACGATCCTTCGGAAAAACTCTGTAGCAACCCATGGCAGTTTATCTGGCTGTTCACTCATTCGTTCATTCAGTCATGTAAGTATTAGTGGCACCTACCCTCTGTCCACACAGTGCTAAGGAGAAGAGAGAGACAGGGTCTACCTTCAAGTAGCTCACAGACTGGTAGGGAGAGGGGCTGAGAAACACCTAGGCACAGAAAACACTGACAAAGCCACACAGGGGGCCGGGGGATGGGGTAACACCGGAGCCAAAAGGGCCAAGAGGGACAGAGAACTGCATGTACGGTGAGAAGCACATTCAGGGAAGGACTGGCAGCTTAACTGGCCAGAGCACAGATGTGAAGGAACGAAGAAGTAGGTAACAGGAAAGGGTACAGAAATTAACCAGAGGCCGGCTCCCACAGGATTTTATACACCTTACTAGAAAATTCATATTCTCTCTCAACACTATGAGTAAACAGCCAAATTCTTTAGATTCTCATGTTAGACTCTAAGCGACAGATGGAGGTGGGCGTGGGGGAGGCAGGAGTTTGGCTTTCATCTCCCTGTTTCACCAGGGAGGGCCAAAACCAGGCCCAGGCAGCACGCTAACCCCTGCAAGGCCCGTGCAGACACTACCAGTTGAACACAAATGCCCCCAAGCCTAAAGGTGGCTTCCAAACCCTTCTCAGTTCAGCACTCTAGACAGCTGCGGCCATCATTTGAGCTGACCTGCAATACTGCACTTAATTGCCATCCTGGGGCTAAATTACAAGGCCTGTGGGAGGAGGAATTTTGTCTGCTTTCCATCACAGCTAAGCCCCAGTGCTTAGCACAGTGTCTGAGGCACAGCGGCTGCTCAGTGAGTCTTTCCTTCTTTTTTTCTTTTCTTTATTTTTTTATTTGTCAGAGAGAGAGAGAGAGAAAGAGCACAAGCAGGGGGAGCAGCAGGCAGAGGGAGAAGCAGACGCCCTGCGGAGCAGGGAGCTAGATACGGGGCTCAAGCCCAGGACCCTAGGATCATGACCTGAGCCAAAGACAGATGCTTAACCGACTGAGCCAGGCGCTCCTCAGTGAGTCTTAAACGGAACTGAAGCCAGGGCTCCTGGCTGGCTCAGTCAGAAGAGGATGTGACTCCTGATCTCAGGGTTGTGAGCTGGAGCCCCATGTCAGATGTAGACATCACTTAAATAAAGCTTTTCTAAAAAATGGAACTGCATCCTTCCTCAATCTGCCTTTCCTAACTCGCCAGCCTGATCCCCATGTCCTCCCGCCTGCTATGGGTACTGGCCTCACACCATTCAGCACTGAGAACGTGGCACTATGTTCTACACTTTCCCCAGTATTTCCTAAAGGCTGGCTAACTAATAGAGGAAATGAGTAACGATGTGAATGGAATGGCTGCGTATTCACAGCACGTGAAGGAAGGGGGCTGACGCAGACTTTCCAGTATCACTAGAGGGAACTGGGGGAAATATCTTTGAGCTTTTCACAGCAGCACCAAGACCTCTTAGCAAAGGTCTTTTCCAAGAATCTTTCCAAAGTAAATGGGTCCGACAATGTAAGCCTGTGGAGTTACTCACTATGAACTTACTCCATACCTGCTTGTATCGCCTCTTCTGAATATACTGTGACCATGATTTGATACACTTGCGTAGCAATGTTATTCTGAAATAAAACACATAACATGACACATACTGCCTACTGCATGTCCAGGTTTGGGTTTTAAAAATGTTGTTTGTTTTTAAGGCCAAAAAATCTGGGTGTAGTTACATCTTCAGTGTTGAAGGCACCCTGTCAGTTTCATTCTAGGACAGGGGGAAAAAGAACCTATCATTCAACACAACATCTGTCAGCCACTGATTTCGGACTATCGCTTGCCCCCAAATTCTGACAATTTTCTTATAAACCTAATTAGACCACCAAGCACAGTGTCTCTGGAACCTAGGTAATATGTACGAAATCCCCTATCATGAACTTTCTGGTTTTATGACCAAACTCTGGGGCTTACGTTAGGACCACCTGGGTCTGTGACAAGCTCCTTCCACCAAAGTGATATCCAGAGTGAGAACTGCCTTCAGTTTTGTAACCAGGATTTAAAATAATGATTGACCCTAGTAACTCCAAATATAGTTAAATACTGAGATTCTCACCGACTCATTAAAAAAATGCTCCAAAACGGGACCTCTATGTGAATTCAATTGATTGACTTACTGGCTGCAGAGAGGGTATATTGAATATTTCCGGCAGGGAGAAAAGCGAAGCGTAGTTACTTCTGAAGAGTAAGACTCAGGGATCAGAGGGAGGGATCCAAGCAACTTTTATTTTTCACTTTATACCTACCTCCCTATACATTGAGTTTTCCTTATAGACATGTGGTGCTTTTATTTAAAATTTGGGGCACTTGCCTGAGCCTGCTTTTTAACACTATCAGTGCTTGAATTCTAAGATGTGAATGTCACTAAAGCCTGAAACTCTGAGGCAGGGAGCTAGCTGGCACATATTCTGAACTATGGTGACCAAGAACCAGTACAAACATCTCTATTCTACCTCTCATCTCATCAGTCAAAAGGGAAACACAAGCTTAGGAACCACTGATTTACAGCAGGGCCTTTCTGAAGCTGGCCAGCACTGCATGGAAGGGTTCTCCTACAGAACAGTCAGTCAGTCCCTGGAGAGCACAAGGAGAAGGCCAAGCCCCTACCTGCAGTGGTCCCGGGCAGCACACAGCGAGGGAAGCTGCGCTCTCTCTTCTCTCTGCTCAATCCGAGACTGCCAGAGGTCCCAGAATCTGTGCAGCAGCTGAAGCAAGACAGAAAAGAAATGGAAGTTTGATTACTAAGGCAAAAGGTGAAATGATCTCTCCTGACTTATTAGCAAATCCTTGCCCCGAGAGACTACTAGCTCCGACAGAGGAGGAATTATACCTCAATTTAGAGTAGCCGACATATAACAGGCTTACAAAATAATTGTGGCTAAGTTATACGGAGCTATTCTAGGCCAACATCAAAGGCAAAAAGATGAATTTCCCCGTCTACGGAAATCAGAATCAAGACGCTCAAGCTATTCCTCATCTGGGCCTCATAGAAGACAATGCCATTTTGTTTATTTTTTATTTTTTACTTTTATTTTTTTCCAAAGATTTTATTTATTTATTTGACACAGAGAGCGCGCACAAGTAGGCAGAGAGAGAGGGGGAAGCAGACTCCCTGCTGAGCAGAGAGCCTGATGCGGGGCTCGATCCCAGGACCCTGAGACCACGACCTGAGCTGAAGGCAGAGGCTTTAACCCACTGAGCCACCCAGGCGCCCCTTTTTAATTTTTTTTTTAAAGATTTTATTTATTCATTTGACACAGAGAGAGAGAGGCAAAGAGGCAGGCAAAGAGAGGGGGCGAAGCAGGCTCCATGCTGAGCAGAGAGCCCGACGCAGGGCTCGATCCCAGGACCCTGGGATCATGACCCGAGCCAAAGGCAGAGACTTTAACCCACTGAGCCACTCAGGCACCCCGACAATGCCATTTTATTTTTATTTTTTAAAGATGTTATTTATTCATTTGACAGAGAGAGACATAGCAAGAGAGGGAACACAAGCAGGTGGAGTGGGAGAGGGAGAAGCAGGCCCCCCCAAGGAGCAAGAAGCCCGATGCAGGGCTCGATCTCAGGACCCCAGGATCATGACCTGAGCCGAAGGCAGACACCCAACGCCTGAGCCACCCAGGCGCCCCAATGAAGCCATTTTAAAAGTTAAAACTGATCTTATCACCTCTGACTGCTCCTGATGTAGTCTTGCAAAAAAAAAAAAGGTGCTTAACTTCAATCTAATCAAGCCCTTAGATCAAACTTCTAATTTATAGGAATGACATTTAAAAAAGGAAAAATCAAATGACATCAAATGGAAACAGATAAACTGAGAATATGGAATATTATATAATGCCAAATAGCTGGCCTTCCTTTTCCAAAAATCAGTGTCACTGAAAAAAAAAAGTATACAGTACACTAAGTGGAATAAGCCAGGCACAAAAGGGCATGTAAATATGAGATCCCTGAAGTGGTCAGGTTCACGGAGACAGAAAGGAGAAAGGTGGCCGCCAGCTGCTGGGGGGCAGGGGAGAAGAGGAGAATGCGAAGTTATTGTTTAATGGGGACAGAGTTTCAGTTTTGCAAGATGAAACAGGTTCTGGAGATGGATGGTGGTGAGGATTGCACAATGTGCATGTGCTTTGTGTCACCGAACTGTCCTCTTAACGATGGTTAAGATGATAAATTGTTATGTGTATTTTGCCACAATTAAAGAATAAACGTATTAAACAAAAGAAGTGGAGAGGGGACAGTTATTAAGAGCCTCATAAGACATAACCAGATACAGTAAGTAATCAGCCCTTGGCTGAGTCCTGGTTTAAAACAGAACATTTCGGGGGCAACTGTGAAAATTTGGATATGGGCTGGGTATTGGATAAAATTAGGGAATTACTGTTCATTTTGTTAGGGATGGTAACAATACTGTGGTTATGAAGGAAAATGTGATTTTTGGACAACGCAGGCTGAGATGTTTAGACATAATGTGTCACGATGTCTGTCACTTCGAAATGATTCAGCAAAAAAAAAAGGAGTAAATATTAACAATTGGCTAATATTTGAATTGAGTGGTAAGTATAAGGTGTTTATTCTACTATTCTTAAGTTTTTCCATATGTTTGAACATTTTCACAATGAAAAACAAAACAAAACAAAAAAAACCATCCTCCTACACCCAAAAACATGATCTATAAGTAGAGATAGAATGTTTGTTGCCCTCAGGTAAATCAACCACTGAAGACAAGAAACTTATAGTAGTGCAAATACAACCAAAGCCGCCTGGAATGCAAAACTCAACGTGTACTCCCCAGGTCAGGGTTGGAATCCACAGTCCCTGACCTCTGAGTCAACTATCAAGTTTCTTAGCAAACAGATTAAAAAACGGATTAAACTAGGAAAAACCAAGGGTTCCTCTACCAGCTGGTAGGGGTAGCCAGAGAAAATGGACACTAAGGTTTTGGAGTCTGAAAGGTTTGGGCAAACCTTGAGGCACAAAGGTTAAAAAAGAAAAGATAATGGACATGAGCTTCCTCCATACAGATGACCCTCACCCTGATGTCATGCTGCTGGTGAGCGAGGTTCTTTCTTATTTGCTGGAGATGGGCATGCGTCACATTATCTTCCAGGGCTCGAAAACAGAAGTGCTGTGAATAGAAGGAAGGACACAAGCAGTTACAAATCAGCAGCATGTGTACCAGTAAGAGCGGAACCCGAGTACACTAGGGAGAGGCCCGGGCACGGATATTCACAGCTGCGCCTGGATCCCGGAATGTTTCTCTGCTTTAGGATTCACCTGGGAGTCTGATACACAGTAGGCACTTAATAAATAGCTGTTGAACTGCTCCCTGGCTATCCTCCAACACTGCCCTGGGACAAACACACCATCACCTCTGACCAGGAGAGATCCCTGTGGCCCAGACAAGAACACGACAGACAAAGGTTAAAGATATCAGCTCTGCCTCTCAGGAAAAGACTTTTAGATTATGGTGGGGTTTTTTCTGTTTGTTTTCTTTTTAAAGCCACGTTGGCAGTGGGGTGGGGGTGTCCAGTGTGCACACTTATGCAATTCCAAATGTAGTTTTGCATGAGCAGAATAGCAGGTAGAGAAGGAAGTGCTGAGTAGGGGGGGTTGAGTAAGTAGGGGGGGTTGGGGCAGTGGCAAGACGTGTGGGACTGCCTCCAGCTCCATCTACACTGCCTCGCATGTGACCTAAGTAAAGCCTTTTCTCCAATGCCTTGGGTTCCAGTCTTCTGAGACAGAAGTGAAGCGATCAGGGGTTTCCATATTGTGCTTTGTAGAACCCAAGGCCCTTGAATGTGTCTGAAGACCTCCTTATGTGGTGAGGGTCGGGAAAAGCAGCCGTAGATGCTTCACCCACAGCATCTACTTCGATTGATTTTACAGATGAGGCTCCCAACATTAAAAAGGGAGCATAACAAATAGCATGGAGGACATGGGGAGTTAGGAGAAGGCAGTTGGGGGAAATTGGAAGGGGAGGTGAACAATGAGAGACTATGGACTCTGAAAAACAATCTGAAGGGTTTGAAGAGGGGGGGGGGTGGGAGGTTGGGGGAACCAGGTGGTGGGTATTAGAGAGGGCACGGACTGCATGGAGCACTGGGTGTGGTACAAAAACAATGAATACTGTTATGCTGAAAATAAATAAAAAAAAATGATTAAAAAATAAAAATAAAAATAAAAAGGGAGTCTGCCCTGGGGGTCATGAGTTCGAGCTCCATGTTGGGGGTAGAGGTTACTTAAAAAAAAAAAAGAAGGGGGACCTGGCTGGCTCAGTCAGTAGAGCACGTGACCCTTGATCTAAGAGTTGTGAGTTCAAGTCCCATGTTGGGTATAGAGATCAATTAAACATAAAATCTTCAAAAAAAAAAAAAATAAATAAAAAGGAGGCCGACCATATGTATAAAAAAAAATGCAGGACTAGATCACCTCCAAGATTCCCTTATATCTCCAGAACCTTCTTTTTTTTTTTTTTTAAGATTTTATTTATTTATTTGACAGACAGAGATCACAAGTAGGCAGAGAGGCAGGCAGAGAGGAGGAAGCAGGCTCCCTGCTGAGCAGAGAGCCCGATGCAGGGCTCGATCCCTGAGCCGAAGGCAGAGGCTTTCACCCACTGAGCCACCCAGGCGCCCCATCTCCAGAACCTTCTGATCCCACCCATGAAAAACAGGGACACTTGGAATAGAACAGGGCTTCATAAGTGAAGCTAATCCCACAACCAGATACACCTGAACAGCCCGCTGTGTGCCTGGGTCCTCCAAACGTGAAGGCCTGAGCAAGGCTGCTAAGTATGGCTACTCTGTGTAGACAGGCTTTCTATTAAAAGGTTGCATTCTCCTTATCACATACTTTACAGTTTATAGAGTGATTTCTCCCCCCAGTTTCTTGAACATGGTACCTTCACATCTTAGGACTTTGGCCAGTTGTGCTGTTAAATATTAACCACTCAAATTTTGGCAATTCCTGCAAAGAAAAAAAAAGAGCCTCAGGAGGCTTTCACACACTTACCAGCAAGCTGTGCCTCCTGTGTTCTTCTGCCACCTTCCACTGGGATGCTTCTTCAGCACACAGCAGCATGTCTGGCAGGGAGTGAAGGCCCCTCATCTAAAAAATGTCCCCACCCCCGCACAGTGCAATCCTAGGGACCCAGCAGAAGGGTCTTGGCTGTGGTGGATAACAGGTGGGCTGCTGTCCACCTGTCTCCTCCTGATGACCCAGAGAAGAGGAAGCAAAGGGAAATTGAGTTGCTTATCCAAGAGTTGTCCTTGCCTTTTTCCCCACTGATGCCCATTTGATGACAGGCAAAAACAGTTAAGATAAATTGCCACAGATTACAGTAAACATTTCCAAATCATGCCATCTAAAGCATTCCTGTCTTCCTGCAGCCTCTGTTGGGTGCCACAACCCAGTCCAATGTTTCAGGTAAAAACCTTGGAGTTATTTTCAAACCTTCTCCTCCCACTCCTTCCATCTACTGGGCTGCCAAGTCCATCACCTCCCCTCTGAAGTATCTCCGGCTCTTCTGTTCCCGTGCCCAGTGCCCCGCAGGACATCCGACTTGCCCCTCACACAGACTGGTGAGAGCCTTGCATAACTGCTCCCCCTGAGCTGGCTTTGCCCCTATAACCCAGTCTGTCCCCTCACGTACAAACCTGCCACATCACTTCTCTTCTTACACACCTTCAGGGGTTCCCCAGTGCCATCAGGAGAAAGCCCAAGCTTCCGACCACCGTACACAGGGTGCTACAAGCTGGCCCCAGCCCGCCACCACCTGCACTGCCCTACCGCCATCTATGCCCCTCGACTCACAACAGACCCCCCCCTCGCTGTCCCTGGGTCTTTTCCTCACCTCTACCTGTGTGAATGCCATTCCTTCCACCTGCAACACCCTCCCCAACTTCTCTGCTAGGTGACCTTGTCAACCTCTAGGACAAAGCTCGAATCTGCACAGTAGCTCCCGCAGGACGTGATACGGACCTTTATGACAGCACTTTCTGCACCACATTGTGAAGCCCTGTTTTCATGTCTCTTTACCCCACAGACAACCAACTACCGTTCACCTCTGAGCTTCCTTATATTCCAGAACTTAGGCAGGAGGCTAAAACAAAGCAAGAGTCTGCGGAACAGATGAACGTGTGGATGGACATCGAGGGTGGTCCAAATCTGCATAGCTGGGCACCTAGTGTAGCACGTGTCTAGTGCCAAAGGCCCAGGTCCAAAACTCCCAGCTAGGCCAATGATCATCCATGACTTTGACAATCATTTAAACCCCTGAATCTCTGTTTCCTCATCTGTAAAACGGGGATAGTGACATCTACTCCACCGGGTTATTTTGAGGATTAAAGAGATAACGCATAACGTCCACATGTGGTAAAAGACAATGGAAGCTATGGTCATAACGTTAGGGCTGGAAAAAAAAAAAGACCACCTAGTGGGTAGAGAAAAGCAACAAAATGACAATGTAAAATTCAGGACAGTGGGATTACCTCTCCGAAGGGGAGAAAAGGGAATGCAATCAGGAATGAGCAGATAGGGTATTAGCAATGTTCTAATTTTTACGTTGGGTGGTGAGTATATGGGTGTTCATTTTATTACTATTCGTTAAACTGTAAATGTATGTTATACATACTGTTTTGTAAGTATACTTCCAGTTAAACAGAAACATTTTAAAAAGAAATCAACAGACATCAGGACCACCTTCTATTGTTCAGTAATGGTTTCCTACATATCCCCAGCCCTTTGTTTTACAGGCTGCTGAGCTCCAGGGAGGCCCTGCTGTGGTGGTAGAAAAGGCTAGGGGGTGGGGGGAGGGACAGATGAAAAGGATACAGTGTTTCCAGTGAGTGAATGCCCGCCTCAGAGCCATCCTCCGGGCCAGCCCCTCCACCCTGGCTTGCTGGGCGTACAAGCTCTCCTTCCGCTCCCAGGCCCACTGCCAGTCACAGAAGCGTGTCTGGAGCACAGTGACCCGGTGGAATCGCTCAGCCATCTCTGCAACAAAAAAAAATCACCACGTGCTGCCCCCTGCAAGGTTGAGATGAGCTGGAAGCATCTTTCATGTAAGCTGTACCCTACTACCAGCGGACAGCAGGGATTCAAGGCTGTTCTTACAAAGCATCCTAAAATCAGTCTGTTTAGGCATGGGAGGGCTATTTGGAAGCCCTTAGTTATACCTCTTCTTTCCAAGAGAAAAGGTCTGTTATCTTAGGGACGAGATGCTATAAAATCAGTTATAGCAAAGAGTTGAGGCTTCTAGTTAGCTACTGAGGAGCCGGAATGGCAGCTACTGCTTTCAAAGATGACTCTTACTTTTGACTCTTACTCTTTGTCTCTCGGGTAGGACTTTGGGGAGTGAGGTCAATGACACAACTTGGTCACCATGCTGGCAAAGGTGTTTGCTAGCTTTCAGCCAGGCTGATCCTGGCTGCCAGGGTCCCCTGCTTTTAACACTAATTAGCCAATGGTCTGATGAACTAACTTAAGTCCAGGAAGTGGGAGGGAATTGGTCCTGGAACTCGATGCTGAAATGAGAGGCACATTAGTCTACAGCTTATCACACTAAAGAGCTTAAGGTCTTCAGCTTCCAGGCTTGGGCAACCAGACAGTGGGTCTCTGGCCATTATCTTCAAACAGACACATTCAAACTCTCCCAAGAGACAGTGCTGGCCTGGCAACCCAGGAGGGTTCTGCAGGGAGGCCGAGGTGAAAGCCAGCCAGCGTCTAGCACACCGCTTCACTCACTTCTGTGTGAGCTCCAGAAACCAAAGTACAAAAAGTACCAACAATTGAGACCTATGTATTATCACTTACGAACACTAACTAGGAAACTAAGCTGTAAGAATAGTGTTAAAAAAAAAAAAATCAGGGATGCCTCGATGGCTCAGTTGGTTAAACCTCTGCCTTGGGTTCAGGTCATGATCCCAGGGTGCTGGGATTAAGTTCCATTGGGCTTCTTGGTCAGCAGGGAGTCTGCTTCTCCCTCTGCTGTGCTTGCGCTCACTGACAAATAAATAAAATCTTAAAAAAAAAAATCAACATCATAAATCACATGGACTGCATCACTGGGGAGACACAGAAACAATCCAAATGTCGATAGAAGGATGGCTAGATAGCATATTAAGGTAGACCATTCCACAAAATGCAGACAATAAAAAAAAATTTATGAAGACTACTTAAAAATATAGGTAATATTGTTAGTTGTGGAGGAAAAAAGCAAGATACAAAGTTTTAAGTATCATATTAATCATAATAATCACACTACTTATAGGAGAATTAAATCCTATTGAGAAAATATACGTAATAAATAAAATCTTAAAAAAAGGGGGGGTTGCCTGGGTGGCTCAGTCAGTTTAATATCTGTTTTTGGCTCAGGTCATGATCTCTGGGTCCTGGGAAGGAGCCCTGCGTCAGGCTTCCGGCTCAGTGGGGAGGAGAGACTGCTTCTCCCCGTCCTTCTGCCTTTCCTCTGGCTCCTGCTCCCTGCTCCCTCCCTCCCCCTCTCTATCTCTCTAATAAATAAATAAATAAATAAAATCTTAAAAAAAAAAAAGAAAGAAAAAGAAAACAAAACAAAAAGGAAAAAAATATGTGTGGAAAAGAAGGCCAGAAGGAAATAACTTAAATGTGAATTGAGGATGATGTTTCTCCTTGATCTCTTCCCCCCACCCCGCCGAATTTGTGGCATAATATGATTGTAACTCTTCTAAATAAATTTGCAACACTGGCAGCGCAAGAGTAGAAATTGTGACGTGCCCCTCTGTCTCTAGAGCCTGGGACCTTCTGCTCACCCCTCCGCTGTCTCTTCACTCTTCGGGCCCCCAAGTATTTGAGCCAGGCCTTCAGGGATTTACACTTTTGCCAGTGCTGATGGTGTTTCACTGCCAAGACCATTTTCCGTCTCTCCCTCTGGACCTGCAGGAGCTGTTCCCACCACCGTGACCAAACCTGAAAACCAGAGAAAAGGAGACAATCAGAGAAGAGGCAGGAAAACAGATGGGAGGTATGGGTGAGGGAAAAGAGAAATAGAGACACACTGGAGAAGCTAAAACTGGAAACAACGACGTGGCAATGCTCAAGGAGGATCATGATCTACGGGAATTTGCAGTGAAGGGCTCTTTAAGAAGGGCATTCTACTTCCGGAAGTAGAATGGATGAAAGAACAATGAATGAAAGAGCAACAAGGGAAAGAGGAATAATAAAATCAACTAGTAGACAAGAGGCAGGGAAAACCTAAGGGGTGATATACTTAAATCTGATCTGAGACAGGGGAGGGTCTGCCTTTTCCTTCCAAGTGGGAGGAAGCCTACTGTCTCAAGCACATTAGTTTCTGCGAAGAGTTAGCTATGGAAGCTGAGGGCCTACAGAAGGATTCCCTCAAGACTATCTATAAATGTGCACCCTTAGCAAAGTCCTTGTGTGCGCTTGGCAATATGCATCCCTAGTCTGAAGCGGAAAGTCTCAGATGACGACCTCATTATCTTCCTTCCTTAAACCTGTAACACCTCTTCTTTCCTTCCTCTCAGCTGAATACCATTCTTCCTATTTCACCAAGAAAATAAAAGCGATCAAAAGAGAATTTTCCCAAGCTCCTTCCCCATCTACCCACCCACCTGCCCACAGGCTCTGCCTTCTCTCTGGCTACTTTGAATAAAGTGTCTGCGTGCTCTTCAATCAGAAGTCACTCCCAACTATGGACACATCCCATCGTCTCTGACCTTCTCAAGCTTATCACTGGCAAATTCCCCCTTCTGCATCATAGATTTTCACCCTCAACTAGGTTTTCTAAAGCAGCATATGAATGTGCTACTATTTCTCCCATCCTCAAAAGCAAATCTCTTCAGGGATACAACCTCTGATTGGACCCTAGACCTGCCCGTAAAATAGCAATAATCTATGGTTTGACTATGAACTGTACTTTAGATATTAGATCAATATTCAATGTCGTGGATAAGATGATATTGTGATTATGTAGGAGAACGCCTTAATTTTAGGAGACAGAAGCTGAAGTATTTAGAGTTAACTTTTATGTCTGCAACTTTAAAGCCACTCAGGAAATGTGAGAAATGTATTGATATACTTAGAGAAAGCAAATGTGGCAAGATGTTAGCAATGGGTTAAACTAGTGACTACAGTATCTACCTTTTCCATCATTTGGTATTTGTCAAAAATAAAAAGTTGGGTGGAAAAGATTAGGGTCACAGAAATGCTTTCTGAAAGGAATAAATCAGATTTTTGAGCAAGCCACCACTAGACCACTTTGGCATCCAGCTAATTCTCGAGTTCTTTCCTTTCCAGACTCCTCAAAAGAGTGGTCTATTTTCTAATTTCTCTTCCCCGAGGCAGGCTCTCATGAACCCTCTCCCCTTCAGGCCTACTGAAACTATTCTTCCCAAGCCCATCAATGATCTATTCTTCCCAATCCCATCAGTGATCTCCACATTGTTCAATCCAAAGGTCAAATCCCACTCCTCACCCTCCCTGACCTGCCAGAAGCATGTGATGAGGCCAGTCATGCCTGTGGATTCTCCAGGCTACCTGCAGTCTCACCTTTATTTCTCCCAGGCTGGGTCCTGCAACCCCTCTTCTAGCTATGCTTACTCCCTGTGTGCTTTCACGCAGTCTCATGACTTTAAATACCAACTGCAAGCTCAGGACTCCCAAATTTACAGTTCAGGTCTCGACCCATCCTCCATACTCCCCAAATATCCAACTGCTTCCTGTATAGTTCCTTGGGGGATATTCAAAAGGCCTATCAGGTTGAAAATGTGGCGCTCAGAATGGAGCTCATCTTTCCGGACAAAACTGCTTCTCCCTCCATCTTCCCCATTTTACTAAATGGCCATTCCACTGTTCTAGTTACTCAGGCCAGAAACCTGGAGTCACCTTGGATTCTTTCTCTGAAACTTCAGATCTTAACTATCTATTAGCAAGTCTTGTCAGCACTACCTTCAATGTACACCCAGAATCCAACACCATCTTGCTATCATCCTTGTGTAGAATCTCACTTGGGATTTTCTTTCTTTCTTTTTCTATTTTTAAAAGATTTTATTTAATTATTTGACAGACAGAGATCACAAGTAGGCAGAGAGGCAGGCAGAGAGAGAGGAGGAAGCAGGCTCCTTGCTGAGCAGAGGGCCCGATGCAGGGCTTGATCCCTGGGATCATGACCTGAGCCGAAGGCAGAGGCTTTAACTCACTGAGCCACCCAGGTGCCCCTCACTTGGGATTTTCTAATAGCTTCTTGACTGTTCTCCCTGTTTTCATCCTTGATCTTCTATGGTCTATTCCTAACACAACAGCCAAAACCAGGGATGCAAGCCCCTCTTAGACCCCACAATTTAGCCATACGGCTCCTAATTACCTCGGACCAGAGTCACAGAGCCCTTACTTATTGTTTAAAAAAAGAAAAAAAAAAACCACCTGTAAAAATGCCTTCGGGAATAAGAAACTTGCCTTTTGAAAAGTCTGTGGGATGCTGTTCCACCTGAGATAACAGACACAATGTGCTGTGTTTGCATGAAAAAATAGTAATAGCATGCAGGTTAGTGATAATCACAGGATGTGGAACTTTTGCCTTTATACTCTAGAGAGGATACTGCTAATGTCTTCTGCTAAGAATGTTTTACAGTTTTGTTTTACAGTTCTGGTCCCCTAGAACAAACGGGTCCTTGAAACAGAACAACCACCTCACTACAATCACAATGAAACCAGACAGGGACATGCCAGAAGGGAGAAGATGAACAAGAAGGAAAAAATGTTACAGCTGACCTAACCCTAATCAATCAGCATGATCCAAGACCCTGAGATCCTTACTCTGAATTTCACCCTTTAACACCCCCACCCCTGCTTGTAAGCCATAAGGGAGTCTGGGACTCTTGAGCATTAACTCCCTGTTCTCTTGGGTGGCACCACACCAGCAAATAGTCTATCTTTCTTCCCTGCAAAAGCCTGTGTCAGTTGTTACTGGCTTGCGGCTCACTGGACGCATGAACTCTCGTGTGGTTTGCTACAAAGCCACAGCAATCCTTTTTGGTTTGTTTTGATTATGTCACTTCAATCTCTCCTTTTTATAGGACAATTTTCCTCCCTGCCCTTTTTCCTCTTTCAGGCCACCAATTTCTTTGAGAAACTAGGTCGTTTATCCTATAAAATGTCCCACACTTTAGGTCCGGCTGATTGTCTCAAGGTGTCTTTGCCTTGTTCCCCTGATTCCTGTATTTCCTGGAAACTGATAGAAAGATTAATGTTAGGCTTGGTTGGAATCATGTTCAAATTTCTAGGCAAGAACACTTCTCATATGGTGCTGGGGACTGCCCATTACTTCGCCATCATGAGGCACATCACAGCTGGCTGCCACAGTTTTAACAATGTCAAGACGATCCGCGGCTTCAGATGTCAACCTGATCCCTCCATTTTATTTCCCCACTGTCCTCCCACTCTGTGGTTGCTGCTTAGATCCATTTTCTCAATAGGGGTAGCAGAACAGCAATTTTCTCATTCCAGTACTCCTGTAGCTACTAACTAGAATTTTATAAAGAAGCCTACTCTCATTAACCCTCAGGTTTTGAAAGATATAGCTTATATAGGAAAGGCAGGATAAATGCTTGATTTTTGCCTTCACTAATTTTCAAATTGAGTTAATGCTCTAATAACCCCAATATGTGACCAGTGAGTTCCTTCCTCTCCCCTCATTATACATGCATGAATTTTTATATATTTGATGTGCTTTCAATTCACTGCACTCATTATTCTTCTGGATGTCCCAACTGATTTATCATTAGTCTAGGAAAGTCCTTTGGCTCCTGAGTCCTTCTGACACAAGCCCATTAACCTTTGTTCATTTCCTCACTCTCCAGCAAAGTGTATCCTAGGCCTATGACATGGGTGATATGCATATCTTGCTGCAGATCAGGAATCAGCCATTTCTCCAAAAAGCCTCTGTTTCTTTTAGCCACGAAATAACAGAGCCCATGACTTGGGCACTGGGAATACTACATGCCATATATTCTTTGCTGCTCACTCCTTCTAACTTTTCCATAAATAAAATGAGAAATACATTTCTTTTTTTTTTTAAGATTTTATTTATTTATTTATTTGTCAGAGACAGAGGGAGAGAGAGTGAGCGAGCACAGGCAGACAGAGAGGCAGGCAGAGGCAGAGGGAGAAGCAGGCTCCCCGCCGAGCAAGGAGCCCGATGTGGGACTTGATCCCAGGACGCTGGGATCATGACCTGAGCCGAAGGCAGCCGCTTAACCAACTGAGCCACCCAGGCGTCCCGAGAAATACATTTCTTAAGGTTAAAAAATATCTTAAGTCCCTACCGATATTAACATTTCCAATCTCAGATTATAGGGCTTTTATTTCCTTTCTTTTATATTTGTAATCTTTTCCTTGACACTAAAAATCATGATTCCTAATGACACTGCCGTAAGTTACTTGTTTTATCTCACGATGTAGCTATAATAGTTTCAACATGACTATTCTAAACCTGCCACTAACAATAAGACTACTGAATGTAGGTTTCAGATTTCCTAGCAGTTCTTTGTGTCCTTAGAATGCATTCCACTAGGGATGAAGAGCCAAAATATTGCATTTTAAAGTTACTTGCAGTAATTATTTTCTCTGTGTAGTCATGGCTACGAGCTTAGGTTTGTTTCAGCGTGTTTTAAAATTCTGGGGATTGATTTCTCTCCTTTTTGATTTGCTTGTATTTTTTTAATTATATAAAATATTTATATGGTTCCAAATTTAAAACTGTATAACAAAGTAAATTCACAAATATATTTTGTTCCCTCCATCCCACTATGGGTAACCACTTTTTGTTAGTTTTGGATTTATTTTTTCCATTACTTCTTTAAAATTTAAGTGCACACAGACAAACACACCCACACACATAAACATACACCCCCTTTCCTCCCCAAAGGCAGCACACAATGAACCAGAGGGATCCCATTAAGAAGGAGATGTGATCGTATCACCCTCACTCAAAGCCAGCAGCTTCTCACCTCCACTGGAACAAGAACGTAAAGCCTTTATGGGCGCAGGTGTCTCCTGCGTTGTTACCTCATGACCTAATCCTTCCTATTCTCTCTCTCATGCTCATCAACATGTCACAAGATATATCAAGTTCGTGGACGGGATGACTCACAGTATCATAAACCTAACAATTTTCCCCAATCTAATGTAAAAAGCCGGTGCATTGTAATAAAAATCCTAGTAGGCTTTGATGTGGAACTTGAAAGTTGATCCCAAAATTAATGAGAAAGAGTAAAGAAGAATAGCCAAAAGGATTTGAAAAAGAACAAAAATAAAAAAGATCATCCTTTTCCATATACAAGAACTTAAGAAATAAGGGTGCCCAGCTGGCTCAGTCAGAGGAGCATGGGACTCTTGATAGTGAGTTTCAGCCCCATGTTAGGTATGGAGATTGCTTAAATAAATACCTGCTTCATTAAATCACAACTAAAACAGTGTGGTATTGGCTCAGAGACAGCAATACAGAGCAATGGAATGGAGAGCCCAGAACAGACCCATGAAGAAATGAGACCCTCGCTCTATAATGAAGGTAGATTAATAACCGGTATAAAAAAGATAAAGGATGGATGAATGAGCAAACAGTGTTACAGCAATTAATTACCCATAAGGAAGATGACAAACTGAGACCTTTTTCATACAATTTGTAAAATTAAACCCAAAATACATTAAAGACCAAACTGATAAAAGAATAAATTAGGCTAGATTGAGATTAATAATAGATTGAGATTAATAATATCTGCATGAAAAAAAAAAAAAGGTACCATAAGCAAAGCAAAAAAACAAGCTACAGATTGGAAGAAAGCTCCTGGAAGGTACAGAACACTCAAAAGATGAGTAAGCAGAGTCTACAACAACGTCCACAAATCAGTGTTCAAAAAGAAAAAGCCAAATAACCCAAAGAAGGAAAAAAAAAAAAAAAGATGGAGGGATGTGAACCAGCCCTTCTGAAACCCAAATGCAAACAAGCATCCGTAAAGATGCCGGGCCTCACTGGGAATCAGTGAGATACAAGTTAAAGTGACAATGAAGTTACCACTCCACACACAGCCCACTGCTGAGGAGGACCAAGTCTGACCATGCAAAGTGCTGAGGAGACTGAAAGAAAGGGAAACTGAAACATAACCATGCAAACTGGCACTGGAAAGCACTGGACAATCTGTAGTAAGGATGGAGAGATGAATAGCCAATGACCCAACCATGTGACTTCTAGGAACCAGACTGGAAAATCTCTCAGACTCTTGCACAAGGATCTATGTTTAAAAATGCTCTCCGCAGCAGCGTTTGTAATTGCAAAAATGTAGAAGTAATCCGTAGTTCATCATTAGTAGTGGTACCACTACTGAACAAGATCAACTGTGCCCACCCATACAACGGCACAGTGCACACGGTTAATAGGTATCTACGTCCCTACAAGGGTAAGCCTCACAAACACACTGCTGCTTCTAAAAAGGAAACTGCAGAGGAAATGTACAGGATGACATCATTCATAGATCTCCTAAAGACACGAAACCGGAACATTTCTTCTTTGTGGGTACGTATACGCGTATTTCTACAAGTGCAAAAGACCACGAGAGGATGATGACCTTGCATCCGTGCAGGGCCCACCTCTGAGGTGGAACGGTGGCAGAAAGGGGGAAAGGTAGGGTTTGAGCCATGTCTGGGCAGGTGTGGAGCATGCTAATACCTTTTAATCTAGGTGGTGGGTACTTGGGTACCTGTTCATGTTTTTATCAACGTCTTATATTTAGTTTTCTATGTTTTAAGTACATTTATAAAAATTTCCTGTATCTCAGGATGCTCTGCCCTGTCTAGTTCAGAGATGTTTTGAGGGTTCAAAGAAATGCCTTAAGCGGAACTTCTTGGTAAGCTGTATGGTACTTATTAGACACAAGGCATTATTGCTCATAATCCACACAATTAAAATTTGGTCTTAGAGTCTCACACAGCTTTTGGTCCACATCAGTATGATCTTGATCATCACATTTTTTACTGGATTTGATTCTAAGTGACTCCTGGCTGTTTTAATTGTTAAATCCAACTGCTAACCATGAAAACCTGCTATCACTAAAAATATTCAATCAAATCTGTAGCAAGCTTTGAAAACAACAGTCCAAAGGGAATTCTGAAAGTGTTCTAAGCAATAGTAGCACCAGCAGAATGAATTTATAGGCCCTCAGAGTGGCTCTTTGGAAGAAAAAACACTCACACAGTTGTAGTCCCCCAGGAACAGAAAATCAGTCTCACTATGTTTCCATGTTGATGGCATTTTCACATTTATTCAGTTTCCTCTCCTTCCTGAGATCACAAGTTTATTAAGAACAATCCAGCAGGATGGGTAAAAGAATGGCTCTGCAGCTGTGAGGCTGCTTGGGTTTAAACCCTAGATCTGACCTTTGCTAGGTGTCTGACTTGCATTCAAGTTATTTAACCTCCTTAGTTTCCATAATTAATAATATGGGACTTTAAAAAATAACTGAGGGGCACCTGGCTGGCCCAGTCAGAAGAGCATGCAACCCTTGATCTCAGGGTCATGAGTTTGAGCCCCACATTGGGTGTAGAGATTGCTTAAAAAAAAAATAAACTAAAGAAAAAAAAGGAATTATGAAAACTAATTGAAATAATGCATGTAAAGCACTTAGTCCAACACCTAGGGTTAAGTTAGACCACCACAAATGCTATTTGCCATTGCTGCTGTTCTTGTTACTATTATTATCACTGTCAAAAAATATCTTATTTCCTTGCCTCTTTTTACCTCTGAAGACCTCATGAGCTCAGAGGTAAGCAATTCTTTTCTCTTAAAAGTTAGATAATAGGGGCGCCTGGGTGGCTCAGTGGGTTAAGCCTCTGCCTTCGGCTCAGGTCATGGTCTCAGGGTCCTGGGATCGAGCCCCGCATTGGGCTCTCTGCTCAGTGGGGAGCCTGCTTCACCCTCTCTCTGCCTGCCTCTCTGCCTACTTGTGATCTCTGTCTGTCAAATAAATAAATAAAATCTTTAAAAAAAAAAAAAAGAAGTTAGATAATAACATTTAGGCTTTGCATACCGCATGGTCTCTCTGTGGGAACTATTCAACTCTGCCCTTGTAGCCTAAAAGCCGCACTGGACAATACATAAATGAAAAGGTACAACTGTATCCCAATAAAATTTTATTTATAACAACAGACAGCACACCAAATATGACCTGCGGGCCAGTTTGTGGACCCCTAGCCTAGATGATTGCATATGTGAATTGCATGTGATTTCCACATACTGCATACGTTCGCATAGCCTATGAAACATGTTATCAGATTAAAAAGAGATTTAGTATAATAACACACTTCCTTTTTTTCCCCTATTTCCTGTTATATTCTCTATAAATGACTTGGCAGACCCAGAATACCCAGAAGACCCCAAAAGTGACAGAAACTCAGTCTATCAAAGGTCATAAGAAAGTTTCACTACAGCATCGTCTTGATACAGATGTTAGGCCTTTATTACTGACCAAAAACTAGAGGCTTCCTCTAATATAAGCAAAATTATATTTAGCAGCCAGGTTTTCTTTATTGTCTTAGTTTCTTTTCTGCCCTCATTATTTTCCAACTTGCTGCAGGAAAACAGTAACAAGGAAATAAAGAATATACTGCTCTTTCTTTAATCGTATTTATAACTAATTCATAAATCCCTTCCCAGCACCATAATCAGCAGACACACTGTGCAAACCAACTGGAATCACATTCAGCATCTTCCCATTAGCAGCTTCTTTCCGTTGAACCCCAGCCTTCTGTGTTGCTTCTGCCCTCCACCCCCTGCCCAGCTCCCTTCGCTGCAGGGAGGGCCCAGGACAGAGGCAGCAGCATGACGGCCAGCCCTCTGCTTGGGAGTCCAACCCCACCTTCCGTGGGTGTAGGGCTTGACCACATGGACAGAATATACCAAAACCACAGTCGGCTGCACTCACCTGCAGCTGGAGGCTCAGTGCCCTGTGCTTCACAGCTGACGCAAGCAGGGCGTGGCCCACACGCACCTGTCCCAGTTGCTGCCTCCACTGGCTCCACCACAGCCTGCCAAAGAGCAAATCAAAGATGGAACCAGTCAAAAAAAGGCCACCCAGCAAAGAGAAGGGCAGCAAAGGATCCTCGGCTCAAGTCCCTATCCCTCTCTGTGCCAGTCATCTTGACTGACATCTGCTGGAACCACCGCTGGAAAAAAAAAAAAAATAGAGAAGTAGATCTAGAATAGCTAGTTAAGGGTTGGAAACTGATGGTTCCTAAGGTTCCAGCCTTAGAAACTACAGACATGCTCTATTTGGAACTACACAGGTTTGAAAAATGTATTTATAAATTATTGCCAACATTGAAAAAACAGGAGATTTTGCAGAATAATCTGCAAAACACATGGTTTTTAGATTTCCAGTCTTGGCTTCTTCTCTGCTTATTTTCTAATTAGCTGTAGGAAAATAGTAGTGAGGAAATGAGAGTTTGCAACTTTTTTTTTCCCCACAGAAATACTCACTTTGCTCAGTTACTCTAACCTAGGAAAATCTTTCAGTCCTCCTAATCTGGGCCAGGCATAGCTGCAACACTCACTTCAAAATCTCAAACAATCTTACATTACTACTTATTTTTTAAAGCATTTAGAGAATTACAAGTTCCCTGGATGCAGCCCCAGCACCCAGTATAGTACTAGGAAATTTTAAGCTCCCAATAAATACACACTGAATAAATAAAATTATGTAAAAATATCTCCCACAGGCTCTAATAGAAATGCATACTTATTAAGCATTTAAAAATATCTGCCAGGATGCCTGGATGGTTTGGTCGGTTAAGCATGTGACTCTTGATTTCAGCTCAAGTCATGATCTCAGGATCCTGGGATCGAGCTCCCCCAAGTCGGGCTCCTTGTTCAGAGGGGAATCTGTTCCTCCCTCTCTTCTCTGCCCCTCTCCCCAACTCATGTTCATTCTCCCTCTAATAAATATCTTTTTAAAAATTTGCCAAATAAATGTTAAATAAGTTATTTAAAATAAAGATTTTTTAGGTGTACTGATGTTCTGGACACTGTGTTAAATACTTTAGATATTACCATATTTATTTCCCATGACAACCCTGAAAGACACTTACTGGTGAGCCTGTCTCACACATGAGGAAAGTGAACTGTGGAGAGGTGAAAGGACCCAACACTGCATTGACATGGATTTGACCGTGTCAGTCTAGGGTTCTAAAGTCAAAGTTTCTGCCCTTTTCCCTACTACATAGAGGATCTAGCTCTTTTGAGATTTTAATATGCTGCCATTCAGGACACCAAAGGACCACCAGAGATAGCACGCAGCGGGATCAGTCCCATTATAAAGTAGTTTATTGTTACACATGTCTGGCTTTTGAAGTCATCTAACTTATGTCCCTCCGAGGTGTGCACAGAGCTGATGAAAGGCTGGGTAGGGCAGTTAAGAGCATGGGCTCTGGCATCAGAAAGATGGGTAGGTGAGCCCTATTTTGCCGAATACAGCTTATATAAGCTTGGGCAAGTTATTCAACCTTTCTGAGAATCGTATGTATCTTCATCTTCAAAAAAACAGTATTTAGTTTAGTTCACAGTGACGATTATATGAGAATTTACATTAGAAAAATTAACACACACAAACTCAACACAGGTTTAGAACACAGCGAGTACTCAATTAGTGTTACTTCTGATTGTATAGTTGAACAAGTTGCCAATAAATATTTATTAAGCATCAATTATGTCTGAAGCACTGTTTTTAAGGTGGGTTTTTATGCTTCGTGAGACAAGGCTAAGGTAAGATGATGGCAGCTAATCTGTAGGGCGAAGGAGCGCACTCACCACAAAATACTCCGCTGCCTAAACTCATGGGCAGTGGTCTGCATCTGAAGTTTGGTTCTTCGAAAAACCACGTAGATTAGCCACGACTTCCAGGCCTGCCGCATCTTTTGCCTTGCATCTAGATGCACCAAAAAGATTTTTAAAAAGGAGTAGGGAGAGATACATTACTCTGGGTTATGATAAAAGCTCATGGGCATTCTGTATTCATTCCTCCTTTCGAAGTTCTAAATTCCTCCGGACTTCAAGTGCCCCCTGGTGGAAAAGTTGTGAAGCTTTAAATAAGGATGCAAACACACGTGAAGAATGGCTCTATGAGGGATGACATTTATAAAACAGGAAAATCAATATACTGCACTGTTCAGAAATCTTTTGTTTTAAAGCCCTTATTTTTAGAGATATGTTATATAATATTTAAAGATAAAATAATGTGAGTAACAAAAAGCAGAGAAGTGAGACTGGTCTGAGTTGGTAACTGTTGAAGCTGGATGACAGGTACATGGAGATTCATTACTCCATCTTTTAATTTTGTAGATATTAGAGATTTTACACAGTACAAAGTTAAAGGAGAAGAAGAAATCATGTCATAAAACTTACTGTTTGAAATGATAACTGTAAAGTAGAATAAGCAAGACAAAAGAACGCGATACCATCTATACCTGCTTGAAAAACAGAATAAAAGGGACCAGTAATGATCCTGGAGAAAAGAGACTTTACTAGATATGGGAACTGCAAAGGTCCATAGGTCTCCCTTGGTGGTAAATCCCACTTTCATTATCAAAGTAATCACTAATGAAATAAATTTCTGTTCCTTTTACAACAAAAAGGAGAAAGCAAAATTATGTCAACCATTTTCAGGAGATTCTCCAAAATGTGATTAGCAGGATGAGAACTATATTTATATTTCATAGCAATAGACAAGTCAAGTCAAAACAAGGAGAACTTAACATGTAGCTTCCTCAGGCCCCTTGGGCAATGCTGTTGTGGTTTAGAGTCTGGGCTCCTGAGTGAGACAAACCAGGTTTTAATATGAACTTGTCACTGAGCTGAGTAACCTCGCAGAAGTTCCACATCTCCAAAATGGTACCTTACCTACCTACCTTAAAGGTGTATTTGCCAAGAGTAAATGAGGTCACTGATAAAAAGTGTCTCCAATAAATACAAGCTGTTATTTTCTGAGGGTGGTAGCCAAGAATCTGCATTAATGTTCTCTGCCCTGATTCTGGACAATCTGAGAACCACACTTCCCTAAGGCCTGAAAGTACTTGCTACTTTTTTATCTAACAGTACAAGAGTGACTGAAAACTACAGAACACTCATGAAAGAAATTGAGAAAGACACAAAGAAATGGAAAAACATTTCATGCTCATGGATTAGAAGAACAAATATTGTTAAACTGTCTATGCTTCCCAGAGCAATATATACATTCAATGCAATCCCTATCAAAATATCATCAACATTTTTCACAAAGCTGGAACAAATAATCCTAAAATTTGTATGGAACCAGAAAGACCCTGAATAGCCAAAGGAAAGTTGAAAAAGAAAACCAATGTTGGAAGTATCACAATCCCAGACTTCAAGCTCTATTACAAAGCTGTAATCATCAAGACATTACGGGGCTGGCACAAAAACATACACATAGATCAAAGGAACAAAACAAAGAAACAAGAAATGGATTCTCAGCTCTATGATCAACTAATCTTCAACAAAGCAGGAAAGACTATCCAATGGAAAAAATAGTCTTTTCAATAAATGGTGTTGGGAAAAATGGGCAACCACACGTAGAAGAATGAAACCGGACCATTTTCTTACACTATACACAAAAATATACTCAAAATGGATGGAAGACCTAAAGATGAGCCAGTAATCCAACAAAATCCTGGAAAAGAACACAAGCAGCAATCTCTCTGACCATGGCCGCTGCAACTTCTAGCTAGATATGTCTCCAAAAGCAAGGGAAATAAAGGCAAAAATGGGCTATCAGGACTTCATCAAGATAAAAAGCATTTGCACACAGGAAATAGTCAACAAAACCAAAAGACAACTTATAGAATGGGAGAAGATATTTGCATATGTTTCAGATACAGGGTTAGTATCCAGAATCTATAAAGAACTTACCAAACTGAACACCCAAAGAACAAGTAATCCAATAAAGAAATGGGCAAAAGATAAGAACAGACATTTCTCCAAAGAAGACATACAACTGGCCAGCAGACACATGAAAAAATGCTCCACATCACTCAGCATTAGGGAATAAGTAAAAATCAAAACCACAATGAGATACCACCTCACACCAGTCAGAATGGCTAAAATTAACAAGTCAGGAAACAACAAGTGTTGGCCAGGATGTAGAGGAAGGAGAAACCTCTTATACTGCTGGTAGGAATGCAAGGTATTGCAGTCACTCTGGAAAACAGTATGGAGGTTCCTTAAAAAGTTAAAAATAGAGCTACCCTATGACCCAACAACTGCACTACTAGGTATTTATCCCAAAGATACAAAAGGGGCACCTGCACCTCAATGTTAAAGCAGCAGTGTCCATAATAGCTGGAAAGAGTCCAGATGTCCATTGACAGATGAATGGCTAAAGAAAATGTGGTGTATAGATACAATGGAATATTATTCTGCCATCAAAAAATGAAATCTTGCCATTTGCAATGATGTAGATGGAACCAGAGGGTATTGTGCTAAGTGAAATAAGTTAATAGAGAAAGACAATTATCATATAATTTCACTCATATGTAGAATTTAAGAAACAAAACAGAGGAACACAGAGGAAGGGGTGGGTAAAACAAGATGAAATCAGAGAGGGAGACAAACTGGAAGAGACTCTTAACCATAGGAAACAAACTGAGGGTTGCTGGAGGGGAGGTGAGTGGGGTGATGGGGTAAGTGGGTGATGGGCCTTAAGGAGGGCATGTGATATAATGAGCACTAGGTGTTATATACAGCTGATGAATCACTGAACTCTACCTCTGAAACTAATAATACACAGTATTAATTAACTGAATTAAAAAAATTTAAATTTAAAAAAACAGTGCAAGAATGAACTAACACTCCCTGAGGTCAGTGGGCATGACCCGAGACAATTGTCATACATCAGAAAGAACTCTTCTTTTTTAAAAATATTTATTTTAGAGAGAGAGAGAGAGTGCCCACACATGCACACACACACACAGGCATTGGCGGGGGCGTGGACAGTCTTAAGCAGACTCCGCCCTCTCATGACCCTGAGATCACAACCTGAGCCACAACGAAGAGTTGGACACTTAACAGACTGCACCACCCAGGCACCCCCAGAAAGAACTCTTTTTACCTGAAGAATTCAAATGATTTTTCTTTCTACTCCATAATATAGTTTTACTTATTATAACTGCAAATAATAAAAGATAGCAAAATGCCTATTCCTGAAATAAATTAAAAAAACCTTAACAAATTTAAGAGAACTGAAATCACACTAAGTCTGTTCTCTCATTCCTATTGGGGTAAACTAGAAAATTAATAAAAATATTTTGAACTATTACTATAAATATAAATAGATATTACAAAGTCCCCAATATAGGACTAAACACACTTCTAGATAATCTGTGGGTCAAAAAGGAATGGAAATTAGAAAACATTTCTCAGGGACGCCTGGTGGCTCAGTCAGTTAAGCATCTCCCTTTGGCTCAGGGTCCTGGGATTGAGTCCCGCAGGGAGCCTGATTCTCCCTCTACCTGCCACTCCCCCTACTTGTGTGCTCTTTTGCTCTCTCCCTCTTTCTCTCTCTGGCCAATAAATAAATAAAATCTAAAAAAAAAAAAAAAAAAAAAAAAAAGGAAAGAAAACATTTCTCACTGAATGAAACAGAACTGTAAATATTAAAATCAGAGGGGTGCAGTTAAAGCTGTGCTTAAAGGTAACTTAATTACAGTAAATGTTTGTGTTAGAATAAAGGAAAGGCCTCAAATCAATCTCAGCTTGCATCTTAAGAAACTAGAAAAGAAAAGAGCAAATTAAAACCAAACCTTGCAGAAGTGAGAGAATATAAAAACAGGAACAAAAATCAAGGAACTTGAAAACAGAAAATCAACAGAAAACGAATATAGAAGCTGGTTATTTGACAAGGTGGATAAAACTGATAAAGCTCTAGCCACACTTACAAAAATTGAAGGCTAAAGACATAAATGATCAATATTAGGAATGAGAGGAGCTATCACTATAAGTCCCGTAAACATTAACATTATAATAATGGAATAAATACTTCAAATGACTATACCATAAATCCAACAACATATTTAAAATGGACCAATTCTGGGGCGCTTGGGTGGCTCAGTGGGTTAAGCCTCTGCCTTCAGCTCAGGTCATGATCTCAGGGTCCTGGGATCAAGCCCCGCATCCGGCTCTCTGCTCAGCAGGGAGCCTGCTTCCCCCTCTCTCTCTGCCTGCCTCTCTGCCTACTTGTGATCTCTGTCTGTCAAATAAATAAATTAATTAGTTTAAAAAAAAAAGAAAGAAGAGGTAACCTAAACAGTCTTACATCTACTCAAAAACTTGAATTCAAAGTTCAAACTTCTTCAACAAAAGAAAACTCCAGACCCAGATGAATTCACTAGAGAATTTTACCAAATATTTAAGAAATACTACGAATTCTACAAATCCTTTTTAGAAAATAGAAGACAATGAAACACTCCCTAACTCATTCTATGAAGCCAGTATTACCCCAAACCAAAATCAGACAAAGACATTATAACAAGAGAAAAGTACAGGCCAATATCCTCATGAACACAGATGTAAAAATCCTAAACAAAAAAGTTAGCAAATTGAACCCAGCAATATATGAAGAACGGCATTAATCTGAGGAATATAAGGCTGGTTCAAAATCTGAAAATTGCTCTGTTTCACCATATTAATGGACTAAAAAGGAAGAGCAGTGGATCATCTCAATAGATACTGGAAAAAATCATTTGACAAAATTTAATGCCTCTTACTGATAAAAATATTCAGAAAACCAGGAATAGAACTTAACCTGACAAAGGACATCTATACAAAACATACAGCTAACAACATATTTAATGATTAAACACTGAATGCTTTTCCCTTAAAATCAGGAACAAGGCAAGGATGTCCATTCTGACCACT